CCAACACCCCTGTAAATCTCATTCCATGAGGGTTAAGGGAAATTTTGGAATAGCCCTTTATTTTGAAATTGGGTGCTGTGTAGACAGTGCCAAATTTCAAAATAAGCTGTTTCGAAATTACCTTGAAATAAGCTATGCATTTTGCATAATTGCATAGTGCAAACTGTATGGTTTATTTCAAGGTAAGGGTGCAGTGTAGACGCATAGACACTCTCTATGACCCGATTTCAGAAAAAAATAGAGCTCCAACAAAATCAAAGAGAGTGTAGGTGCACAGGGCCTTCAAAAAACAAGCCACTAATGACTTCCAGCACATGACAATATGTTGCGGGTTTGTCAGTTTCTATTTCACTGTTTCTCTTTTTTCAGTCTCACACGATTTAGAAATGGCTCCCATATTCACCACATTTCTCTTTCTGTTCTCTAAAATGCATGTTTCTCATAAGATGTAATTTCTCCTACATCTGAGAGCTATCCATTTCCTGATGATCTCAATTTTTTTCCAATGTCTATGACTTCCTTTATCTATCATCAGTGTAATCTTCTTTCTGCCTTTTACTATAATTTAGACATTGTTTAGCAAGGTTTCTTGCAAGAGCTGGGAGAAAGAAACCTTTGAACATATCTCAAAATAGAAGTAGAGATGCCAAAGTGCCAATAAGAAGAACATGAGCTTGCTGAAGTGGGTGTTTCATTTTTTTTAAGGCTTTGTTCAGTTTATATTGGTGTCTCCTGTTTTATGTTGCTGTTATTTGTATGTGACTATCTTAAGATAAAGTAGGATAATAAACCAATAGGAGGGCAAAGAAAATGCAAAAGATTTAATCATTTATTTTCTAGTAGGCTGGAACTCTGCCTTGGAAATTATTCCTTGTAAAGATCCCAAAAGTCTGGCCAGAGCTCAAGACTTTATTCTGTTGTTAGTTACCCCAGAATAGATTAGATGTAACTAATACAGCACTTCTGCATCTATTTTGTGTAAACATTAGAATTAAGTCCTCTATTCCCTGGACACCCAGGAAGAGAAATAGAGCTCACAGCAGTCATCCTGACTGCCCCTGGGCTTCAGAAGGATCTCAGCTGGACATGTGAGTAGTTCCCAGCAAGGAGGGAAGGGAAGGGATAAAATCACCTTCCAGTGAGTTTTCCAGCAGAGCAAGCATCAGCCCTCAGAAGAGAATTTGCCCTGTTGCAAAATCCATAGTACACTTCTTGGCAGAAACGAAGGAGCATCTGTAGCTATGCTGCATTCTAAGATACAAATTACTGCCCCTGCCAAGTTGTGTCCAGCTAGACACACCCAAACATAAGAGAGCAACACCACAGGAAGTGTAACACCAACAGGCAGAACTGAACCTGGGACCTCTGGAGCTTAGTGCATGAACCCCTACTCACACTGCAAGTGCCACTACATGGGACAGTGAACCACACCTAGAAGGTGTGTGAGTGACACAAGCAGCAGTTAACCAAGAAGTATGCTTGTTTCAAAAGTACAGCTAATTAAGATCCATGGGAGTGAACTGGACTGCATGCCCCCAGAGAGTCAAAGAACTTCTGAAATGTAGTAAAGTTCTCCTGAGGCCTCGGACTGCTTCTGAAAGTGGAAGGCCCTGACCAACCCTCCCCACCTTTGTCTGTTGCTAGTGCTGGCACTTAAGAAAAAATAGCCCTAATAAGTCTGGGCATTTTCATTGTCCAACCACTGCGTTCCTAAATCTCAATCAAGAGCATTTCCAGTGTCAAGCAACAACAGCATTTCTCAACCTCAGTTAGCCACTATCCATGTGCATGCACGGATCTTCTTGAGTCTAGCTTCAAACAGAGCCTCATTTTCCCAAAGGGGGCTACATTCGCCCTTTGAAAAGCATCCTACTCACCTATCAATGGCAATATATCTTTCTCTTCTCCATATCTTCCTGCTCTCAGTTCTAAATCATACACCTGTAAACACTATTTTGAAAGCATGAAGACCCATGGATCATCCCCAGAATTTGTACAGAAATATCTCTTCTCTTGCCATCATGTAAAGCCATCACCCAATTTGGTCACTAACTCTAGTCCAGAATGTAAGTGGAGTAGTTTGGTAAAAATATCAGCCACTGACACAGGGTCTTCTGAGTGCATGTATTATTTTCAAGTATGCAATGTTTATTTCCATAGTACCAGATCAAGCCTAAAGTATTATTAATGTACTCAGTGACTCACTCACAATGTTAAATCATAGCCTAATATAGCAAGGCATAATGGAAGTTCAAAACAGAAATCCAATGAGACCGGAAACAAGTTATTCTGTGCAGCTGTAATGCCAACAAGTGGAACTGAACCGAAGACCTCTGGAGCTTAGTGCATGAGCCTCTACAGTTTGAGTGAAAAAGCAAGCTGGTCCTCAGCTAAGGCTGTAGAGCAAATTCATTCTCTCATGGTAAGTGATCTAAGTTGCACTATATGGGACAGTGCACCACACCCAGTAGGTGTGGGAGTTACATAGTTCCCCTAGCTGAGGAAGCACATCCTGAGCTTCAGGGACATCCTGGTTGAAATTCTAGACAAGCCCCCACTTGTAATGCCAATAAGTAGAACTGAACCTGGGACCTCTGGAGCATAATACATGAGGGTCTACAGCACCTCACCTAAGGCTTACTCTGTGTAAGGGGTCTCAATACCACTAAATTGGACAGTGAACCACACCCAGTGGGTATGTGGGTTACATAGCTGCTGCACAAACCTCAGGATCCATATCACTGCTGATCCCCACATTTGTACAGTATAGTAAAAGGTAGAACAGTGATAGAAATGTAGCCGTGTTAGTCTGGTGTAGCTGAAACAAAATACAGGACTATGTAGCACTTTAAAGACTAACAAGATGGTTTATTACCAAAGGATATATATATATGGTTGTGACTATTTTCTTCCACTATTTGATCTGAGGAAGTGGGTCTGGCCCACGAAAAAAAAATGAACACATATGAAAAGGACAAATCACATTACAGAACAGAAGGGGGATGGGGGGAGGGCGGAAAGGTAAATGTCTGTGAGCTAATGGTATTAGAAGTGATAATTGGGGAAGCTATCTTTGTAATGGGTAAGATAGTTAGTGTCTTTGTTGAGACCGACGCGTAGAGTGCTGAATTTTAGCATGAATGCCATTATTGGACCTAACCGAGTTATAAGATCAAGAACACATATTCCTGCGCACCCAGAAATATAATTTATGCTATCATGTGCCGAAAGTGTCCGTCTGCTTTGTACATTAGACAAATGTCTCAGACACTTCGCCAAAGGATCAATGCCCACAAAACAGATATTAGACAGGATCACAAAGAAAAAACAGTTTATTGCCATTTCAACCAGAAAGGACACTGTCTCAACGACTTAATTACCTGCATCCTGCTTCAAAAGCCTTTAAAATCTGCACTTGAAAGGGAATCCTCTGAACTGTCATTCATGCTAAAATTCAGCACTCTACGCGTCGGTCTCAACAAAGACACTAACTATCTTACCCATTACAAAGATAGCTTCCCCAATTATCACTTCTAATACCATTAGCTCACAGACATTTACCTCTCCCCTTCCTCCACATCTCCCTTTTGTTCTGAAATGTGATTTGTCCTTTTCATATGTGTTCATTTTTTTTAAATTGTATCCTTTGGTATATATGGTTGTGACTATTTTCTTTCACTATTTGATCTGAGGAAGTGGGTCTGGCCCACGAAAGCTCATCACCTAATAAACTATCTTGTTAGTCTTTAAAGTGCTACATAGTCCTGTATTTTGTTACAGTAAAAGGTAGGACTGGGAGAGTCATTGCTGGCCAGTACAGTGCAGAAATTACAGCTCCACCATTGTTCTTCATTCCAACCATGTGTTCGCACCTACCCCTTCATCTGTAAAACACCAGTTCTCCTCTACATTATTCACCCTAAGAAAGTTATCTGATCTCAGACTTATTGTCTCCTTTGATGATGTCTCCACAGCCTCGCTCTCCTGTTTTATCAATGTCAAATTGCTCTGTCCATTGGGAGATTTTTTTTTCTTTAGATCTAATCGGACCCTAAATATTTCACTCATTAAAAAAATAGCAAGAGCAGTTGCACCACATCGAGAGACAATACATCATCGTGGCAAGCCGAGTTGGATCACACACAACTGTGTCTGGTGAAACTTTGCTTCCCTATTCAGTCATTGCTCCTTTCACGCTGTCTGCCCTTCCCTCCATGCCGTTGGCAGACACTGTCCTATCCCGCACTCCAGAAATCTTAATTTCACTTTGTCATTTGACGCCTCAAGCAGATCTAACTGTCCAACCAGTGTCCTCTCCTGAAATTTGCACATTTCCCGCTAGCTCTTAGTTTTAACAATGCTGCCTTCTCTCTTCCCAAATGTCATTACCAGCCATCTGGATCTCTTTGGTTTTATATAGAAATCAACCCACTAATTTAGTAAACTATCCCTTCTCTGAGAAGATCCCTATGTTCAATAACACTAAACTCCCTTCTTTTTATCCACACTTTAGGATACCTCCTTTCTCCCCATCTGTATTATTCCTGAAAATGAGGGTAGATAGTTCTAAATAGTGTCAGTCACAGTTTTCAGGAGGCCAAATAATTTCCAGTGGACCACAATACAATGAACAGAGGAGTCAAATGAAAAGTGGAATCGTATATAGAGAAAAACATATCATTTCCATTCCCAGAAATAAATAAAACATATACTTCTATCTCTGATTTGATCCCACTGGAAGTGGGCCCTCAGTTAATGTTGCTTTGGCTTATCCAACCCAGAAGTAAACAAACCATGACTGCAACTGATGGTAAAGTAGCTTTTTAAAGAATGGAAAATTCAGAACACTAGTGGATGGATGGATATGAAGAAAGAGAGAGAAGAGGACCTACAGTTAAAACCGAACTAGAGTTGATAAGCATATGTATAGGACTTTCAGAGACACACAATAATTACCCTATTACAATTCTGTTTATTAAAGTAATATTATCTCTACTTACTTTCACAAAGCCGTCGTCTCAGTTTCCCTCGTATTTTATCAATGGCATTGTAATCGGAGACATGGAACACATGGGCAGATTTAGGCTCAGAAGCAATTTCATCCAGTTCCTCCTTTAAGGCCTCACCAACTCCCACAGCAAAGATCCTGATTCCTGCCTTACGGGCTGCAGTGGCTGCATCCATGACATAATCCTGACTTCTTCCATCAGTCAAAAGTATAGCCACTTTCTTAATGGTTGGATCACTAAGCCTCCCACCAGCCTCTTTGGAAAAGCTATAGGTGTTGATGTACCTAAGGGCATCCCCAGTGTTTGTATTGCCTCCATAATACTTAATGTTCCTTGCCGCTTCTTTGATTTCCTCACGAGTTTGGTACCTTCCCAAGTCAAACTCCGTGGTTGGCCTGTCGCTGTAACGTACCACTCCTACACGGGTCTTGTCCGGTCCAATCTCAAAGGTATCGACCAGATTAGATACCCACTGGCGGACCTTCTCAAAATCTTCTTTACCCACACTGGAAGAGGTATCCAAGATGAAGACAAGGTCATAGTGGACATTCTTGCAACCTGCAGGATCAATGGAAGATACTGCTAAGAGAAGCTGAAAGAGGATCATCACATCTATCTTAACCTCTTTAGTCATGTCTATTTAGTGTACTGACTCTGTACTGAAGGCATTTCTCTCTGTCCCACATAGAGAACACAAGCTTCCAGCCATTCTTCTCTGTGATTTTCTTCCCATCAATTTAGGAGATCTATTGTAGATCTGTTGCTTTCAGTTCATTGCCTCTCCTTTCCTGTTCTGCTTGCTCTGTCTCCAACACTCTCTTTTTTGCCTACGCTGTCTGCATATCTATGAGGCTGGTCTTCTCTTTTAAAAACCTAAGCAGCCCCTTTTCCATTCCCAATTCGAATGCAGTGCATTGAAAAGATATTGTCACAGCCAGAGATCTGTGTTGACCAAGCCTGCGCCAACCTTGACCTTCAACGTTCCCTCTCAAATGATAACGCTAATTTATTTCTGCGTAGCTGCAGGTAATTATGTTTCTGTCCACAATGTCTCAGAGAATAAAAAATAATTTTGTTATGAACTTGTCTCTTATTCTGTTTGCCAATGTGTGTTGACTAAGGGACCATTCCTGGAATAGTAGACTGGCTTCCTTGACAACAAAGTACAGCTCCTTTGCAAAGGAAGCGTTTCCCCACCCCCACAACCAGCCTCATCTTCAGTTAAAATATTCATAATTAGAAGTCTGTGTAATCCAAAAGGCCCACAAGTTTTAATTGCAGTTGTCTTCAACTAGGAAGCCAGACTAGTTGGATATTTCACAGACACCTTCAAGGAGGGCTTCTCACCAAAAGTGTTTTCTGCTTTGTGTGAGCATTTGCAAGGCAAGGTGCTATATAACCATAAGACCAGGGGGCAGGGGAAGACAGACAACACAAGGCATAATCAGAGTGCCCTACTCTGTGGTAAATTAATGAAGTCCCACATGTCTGAGTTTATAAAAGGCTAGATGATTCTTCAGGATGAAAACTGCTATACACATGTCGGCTGTGTCTACATTGGCACCCCTTTCCGGAAAAGGGATGCTAATGAGACACTTCGGAATTGCAAATCCGTGGGGGATATTTAAATCCCCCGCGGATTTGCAATTCCGAAGTGTCTCATTAGCATCCCTTTTCTGGAAAGGGGTGCCAATGTAGACACATCCGTCATGTATTGTCATGTATTAAGTTCATGGCCCCAGATCCTCTAGGGAGAAGCAAGTGCTTTGTGCTGCACTGCCAACAAAATGTGCCCATAAAGCCAGAATGCCCTGCCATGGGAAAAACACCTTAGAATAGAAGGATGGAGAGCTGGCCTGGCAGCTCCTAGACACCTCTCCTTCTACTGCAGAGTCAGAGCTAAGGGGAGCACAGTCAGAGTTTTCTTGCACAATAGATAGACATTATGTCATGTGATTGTAAAGTTCAACTCATCATCAGCTGTAAAGATGATGGGAAAAGTCCAGCATCATTAATTTATCCTGTCCGGGAAAAACAGGGTTAAGCCCAGCTAACTGAAGAATATATCATTTCAAACATATTCAGCAATGGCTATGCATGTTGTGTCTTTTAACGCATCTCAGCCGGTGACAATAAGTGTAACTTAAAACAATACAGAGTATAGAGAAGAAATCCCATCTCTTATCAGGGATGACTGTCCAGAAAACGGGGTGGTTGAGGTGAAGACAGTGAAGTTTATTAAGGAATTAATACAGGAAAACACTGTGTTCAACAGGGCTAATCCTTAATGGGTCAGTGATTCTTTTTTTATATACTTGACAGAGCCAGTTGAATGTTTCAATATTTGGTTCAAAAGCTTCAGAAGGGTAGCCAAGTTAGTCCATAATTGGAAAAAACTTAAAAAACAACGAATAGTCTAGCAACACCACAGGGTGTGTCTAGACTACAGGGTTTTTTTCGAAAAAAAGTAGCCGTTTTTCAAAAAAACTTCACCTGGGTCTAGACTGCAGCAGTGTTCTTTCAAAAATAAATCAAAAGAACATGGCAGGTTTTTTTGATCACCGTAAACCTCATTTTACGATGAATTACACCTTTTTTTGAAAGTACTCTTTCAAAAAAAGGTGCTATTGAATGCAAACTGTGCTTTTTTGGAAAGAGAGCGACTAGACTCTCTTTTGAAAAAGCGGCTTGCTTTTTTGAAAAATCTGCTTGTAGTCTAGATGCTCTCTTTTGAAAGAGGCTTTTTCAAAAGAGTCTTTCGAAAAAGCCTTTCAAAAGAGGCTTGTAGTCTAGATGTAGCCTTAAAGACCAACAAAACATGTAGATGGTATCATGAGCTTTCGTGGATACAACCCACTTGGTTGTCAGCACATACCTGCTCTCTGTGCCTCAATTTTCTCTCCGCTTAGGAGGAGTGCAAGAAGAATCAGCATGTAAGGCATCTCTCTCTTCTTCTCACACAGCCTCAGCTCTTCACTGTGGTGAGAAATGGACTATAAATCCATCCCTTGCCTAGGAAAAGAGAAAATAATTGAGGAGTGATTATTAACTTACAGAATCATGAGACTGTGGAGGAAACAAAAGCAACAATACAAACTCTGGAACTACACATTTAGGGTCGCCTCCGCCGGCTCTCATTTTTCTTGAATAGGCACTGGCAGTACAGAGACAAAGAGGCAAAGAGTTCACTCTTCAAAAACTAAGGTTTTTTCTCAGGCTCCTATCAATACCCAGCAGCCTGAGTGGTCTGAAAGGGAGAGATTAATAGATGATTTTAGTTTAAATGAGCCCACCAGCAAAGGGATAATCAATTCATCAAACTTGAAACCACTGAGTCTCTCATGTTTCTGCCTCAGGAGGTACTCAGTTCAGGTCAGAGACATGTTTATAGCCATACGCATCCCATTGCTACCTCACCAGTGACCACTTCCAGATCTTAGACATCAGAACTGCTGTGTGCTAATAAGACTGACTTTGTCCTCATATATGAATGCCTCACCATCAGGTAGCTTTGTCTACATGAGATGGTTGCACCAGTTTAACTTAAGTTATATCTACACTATCGAGACAATACCAATATAGCTGTGCCAGCAAAGCCCAATGGTATGGATGGAATCTACTCTGGTGGAAGAGGTATTTCCTAAGAATACTCCTTCATCGAACAAAGAAACAGAACCATTTATCCAACTGACATAGCACAGCTGTGTTACACTGGGTCACCACAGTGACATCAGATTGAGGTGTGGATTTTTCACACCGCTGACCAACATTGCTATGTCAACCTAACTCAAGTATAGGCTAGGCCCAGAAGTGGTATTTTAAACCAACTAGGTTAAATCCAGTGTAAACAACTCTGTGGGTGGTAGTTTGATTTAAGAGTGACTTATTTTGATTTAATTTAGATGAAGCTAGTGAAAACTCCCCTGCTTTTGATACAAATTAGAAATTCAGAAGGGTTTGGTAAACGATTTCCAAAACTGGGCCAGCTCCATTTTTTAAATTGAAAACACAGTTGGTGAATGTTTAAGTGTGTGCCTTATATTATTTGTCTTACAGTAGGGCTCACAGTGCACTCGGTGTCGTAAACCCACATCCAGGCACCAGTCCTACTCTGAAGTGCTTCCAAACGAAGGAAATATTTTAAAAGATACTCTCAATGATTCTAGAATCATGCTTCCCTCACTAATGTACAGAGACGCCTTAGGCTTGTTTCCTCACTGAATTTTTATTTCCTCCATCACTTACAGGCACATCGAGTACCAATTGCAAGACTGTGATATTTAAGCGATAGGCTGTGAATGTTGGTTTATTATTGTAGAGTTGCTCTTGAGTACGGGGCTATTTCTTTTCCTCTTGGAACCATTTGTTTTGGTGGAAAACATCTCAAAAGAATTGTGAAGGAGCCAAGGCTATTCTTAAAAATAAGCTTAGCAGGTCTAAACTTAGATCTATCTTGTCAATGTCCCTCTAAAGTAAATGAAGGCATAATGTGGGCTAGAGGAAGTAAAAATCTAAAAGCCCAGATGCAACTCTCGATACACCTGGGTAAATGCAGGCAGATTGGCTACGTCTACGCTACATGCTTCTTACACAAGAAGCCTTTTGCACAAGAGTTTTTGCACAAAAAATTCTTGTGCAAGAGCACGTCCACGGTGTGCTTTTGTGCAAGAGAGTGTCCATACTGCAAGAAATCTCTGATGTCCATTCACAGAATGGCCATCAGAGCACCTGTGCTTTTTCCCATAGGGGTTTCTTGCACATGAAACTCCTCTGGAGCATCCACACTTGCCTTGCTGCACAATAGCTGTAGCGCTAAAAGCAGTTATGCCTCAGAAAAGGAGGTTTACCTACGGCGGAAAAAGCCCTCTGTTCTGCTGCTTAACTGCCCATTTAATTGCATAAGAGCTCATTTGAGGTGTGGATGCTCTGCAGGTTTTTGCGCAACAACAGCTGTCTAAACATTGTAGTGTAGACATAGCCAGAGCATGCTATATTTTCCACAGCTGATAAGACATCTGGGCATGGAGAAACAATGCTTATCACACCTCCTACACTCATTAGAAATAACATTTTAGAGGTGACAAATAAATGCAATTGCTCATTCTCTTCAGACACCTGAAATGTAAAGGCTCAAGCATTTGAATAGGTTAAGTGATCACTATAACATATGAAGATATACCATCTCACAGAACTGGAAGGGACCTTGTGAGGTCATTGAGTCCAGTTCCCTGCTATTGTAGCCAGACCAAGTACCATCCTTGACAGATTTACCCCAGCTCCCTAAATGGTCTCATTGAGGATTGAGTTCATAACCCTGGATTTAGCAGACCAATGCTCAAACCACTGAGCTACCCTCCCCCCAAATCAAACATGCTGGTAAAAGTTATTGATGTTGTCCTTGATGGGTTGCAGCCTTGAGGCCTATGAAATGCTGGTGTTCAGAAACTTTCCAGCAGGTGTCACTATGGCACAATGAGGCAAAGAAACTTGGTGCTAGGCAACCAGACCTAAGGATGACTGAACTGAAATAGCTTGGACAGTTATAGTCAGGGTTTACTTTTAGATAAGCACACTACTGACATTCCAATCGGTCAGTCTCATTCATAAGACTAAGAGCCAAAAATATTGAAAATTGCTATGGGAGTTTTCATCCCAGTTTTTAAAACTTTGGAATTGTGGCTCTGGAAAACTAAGAGTGGTCCAACAGCACTTATGTAAAATCAACCATCTTTTCAGTAGTCAGCTGCTCCTTTCTCGAGTCTGTCATCATTGTGCAACTAGACATGACAAAACACTCAAGTTTTATGAATAATTTTAAAGAAACAACCTTTGCTAATTTTAGCCCATGTGAGCCCCAAAAGAAAGGGGACAGATTTCCAGCTGGTGTAAATCAGAAGAGCTCCAATGAAATCAGTTTACACCAGTTAAGAATCTGATCCACAGTGTTTACATTGGTGATCATGTCTGGCTTATAAGTGTGGCTTGTAATAGACTTCCACTTCCAATGGACAGCTATACCTTCAAAAATCATACATTACCAGACCACAGAATTATGTGTTATGTGAATTAAAGGCAACAATGTGAGATCAAGAGATTCTTCCTTGCTAAACATTTGAAGAACTAAGTACCACTACCTTAAAAGATATTTCAAAATAAATTGCTATGTCCAGGAGAAAAATAGTGGGACTCAAAACCAGAATGCCTGCTCCAGATCTAGGCAGGTGATGACTATTCAATATACAAAGAGTGCTCAACACCCTTTTTGCTGTAGACCCTGGCCTCATTTGAACAGAGAACCAGTTGTATGAAAATATAGCATATTGTTTGTATATAGAGAGGAATTAACTGAGTCTGACCCACAACCATTTAAACGTGTGTGCAATTTTATCTTGAGGGGTGTATTACTCTGATGGCAATAGGATTACTTGCATCATTATTGTTACACTCCCACATGCACTAATAGAATTGGAGACAAGGTATTTTCGGTGAGGGCTCTAATCTGCTACAGAATTTGCTTCCCATTTTATTTCATTGACGTGAGAATGTGTCAACCCTGAGGGTGCAGTGGAAGGTCAGTATTTTTCTCTCAGGCTGTTCCTAGACAGAGGAATAAAGAGGTGCATGGTTTTTCCTTGCTGCAGTGAAAAGGAGGAAGCACCTCTGGGATCTCTCCAAACTTAAAAGTTTTCCATCTCTGCCATGCACCTCTTTATTCCTCTCTCAAGGAACAGCCTGAAAGAAAAATACTGACCTTCCACTGCACCCTAAGAGTTGACACATTCTCACTTCAATGTTCAAATAACCAAGCCCAGATTAGTGGACAGCTCCAGACATTTCTTCGGGTGACTCTAGGATGCTGCTGGTAAAGGACTGAAGAGGACACGACATAGGCCATAGTTTGTGACTGGTGTCTAGACTGAGGTGGATTAGCCACTGGGACAACAGGGTCTGTGCCCATGGGGAGCTGGAAAAATGGGTTCCTCTGTATCTCAACCTCCTTTGTCCACCTGCCTGGGGCTCCTGCCAGGTTGGAGAGTCGTGGCTTGTGCCAATCTGCCCACCCAGTGCTCCTGCCAAGGAGTGGGGCAGAGTTTCATGGGCTTGTTCCGCTCTACCCACTTAGTTCACCTGCTGAAGGGTGGGGGAAACTCACCCATGACAGCTCCAGTCCCAGCTAGAGTGCCAACAGGGGGGTATGGTGGGACAAGCCCCTGCTCTCCAATCCCATTTCCTCAGCAGGATGGGCAGAAGGGGTGGGGAGGGACTCCCCCTTGCTGTGGCCAAGGGCCGACCCCATAAAAGATTATAGACAGAGACAAATCAATCACATGGTGAATTGTCTCTCGTGCTCCAAAGGTGAGAGATGGCAGCATCTGCCTCATGGGGCTCTGAATTAGTTCAATGCTCACCACTGTTCTCAAGGCAGGTTGAAAGCTTGAAATACCTTTGTGGAATCAGCAATCAGCTGCGTCTCTGGGACATTAGCATGATCTCCGAAATCTCTGCAATATTTCAGACAGGTCTTTGGAAGATTCTGGAGGTTCTCATTAATTGGGACATTCAGCTATGTCACCACTCTCTAGATTTTGGGTGAGGGCAGCCATTCAGTGGTGTCGATTGTAAGCTTCTAGTTAAGAGTCTCATCGTATCCCCACAGAGTTGTTGGGTGAGGGCAGCCATTCAGTGGTGTTGATTGTAAAGTTCTAGTTAAGAGTCTCATTGTATCCCCACAGAGTTTCTACACTGTCTGCTTGAATTTTCGGAAAAGCACTGATGATATCATGTAAGATCGTCAGTGCTTTTCCGGAAATACTATGCTGCTCCCATTCGGGCAAAAGTATTTTTCCGAAAGACTTTTGCACAAAAGGGCCAGTGTAGACAGCACAGTAGTGTTTCCGCAAAAAAGCCCCGATCATGAAAATGGCAATTGGGGCTTTTTTGCAGAAAACCGTGTCTAGATTAGCCACGGACGCTTTTCCGCAAAAAGTGCTTTTGCAGAAAAGCATCCTGCC